GTCTTTAAAAATTCACCTGTCTGATCCACTTCGGAGCTTGAAATCGTCGGGGGAGGCCCTGCTCTCAATCCTGCCACTCTTGCAAGCACGATTGGTGGGGATGATAGACAGGGCCTTCTCGGTGGTACCCCCTGGTCTGTGGAATACACTTCCAAGTGAAATTAGGGTAGCCTCCTCTCTCCTCTTTAGAAAAAAGCCCAAATCATGGCTGTGGGACCAAGCATTCAGGAAAAAGATGCAGCAGTAATAATGCAATGACTCATGAGAATTGAAAACTGACAGGCCTCGGAATGGGACTCTGGACTCCGATTTGCATTTGGACTTGGTTGTGTTTTTAATATTTTAATGGATATTTTATAATTTGATGTTTTCATTTAATGTTTAATTTGTGATTATATTGCTAACTTTTTGTTTTGTTGTTGGCATCTAATGGTTGCCAGTTGTAAGCCGCCCTGAATCCCCCTTGGGGGTTGAGAAGGATGGGATAGAGATGTTTGAAATAAATAAACAAATAAACAAACAAACAAACAAACAAACAAATTATAGCTGCTTTGAGTCTTCTTCCAGAGAGATAAAGTGGGGTATAAATAATAATAACAACAGCAGCAACAACAACTTGTGTCTGTTTTCATTTTGCTTTTCTTTGGGGCTAAGCCTGTATCTGTTGACAGCCCAGGAACAGGAATGATATAGTATATATGAACAATGTGGTTCCTGCACTGAGTGCATTGCAAGATCAGATCCTGGCCACTTGTCTGAATCCTGTGTTATAAAAGATTGGTTTCAGACTGGGGCACTGTACCCAGTGTGCCGATCACCACTGGGACCACCTTGACTGATTTGTGCCAGAGTCTTTGCAGTTCGATTTTTAAATCTTCATATCGTGTCAGCTTTTCCAGCTGTTTCTCTGTCACCTGGGATTGCAACATCAACAATCCATACTTGGGTTGTTGTAGGTTTTTTCGGGCTATATGGCCATGGTCTAGAGGCATTCTCTCCTGACGTTTTGCCTGCATCTATGGCAAGCATCCTCAGAGGTAGTGAGGTCTGTTGGAACTAGGAAAAGGTTTATATATCTGTGGAATGACCAGGGTGAGACAAAGGACTCTTGTCTGCTGGAGCTAGGTGTGAATGTTTCAACTGATCACCTTGATTAGCATATAATGGCCTGACAGTGCCTGGAGCCAACTTTTGTTGAGAGGTGATGAGATGTCCTTGTTTGTTTCCTCTCTGTTGTTGTGCTGTTGCAATTTTAGAGTTTTTTAATACTGGTAGCCAGATTTTGTTCATTTTCATGGTTTCCTCCTTTCTGTTGAAATTGTCCACATGCTTGTGGATTTCAATGGCTTCTCTGTGTAGTCTGACATGGTGGTTGTGAGAGTGGTCCAGCATTTCTGTGTCCTCAAATAAAATGCTGTGTCCAGGTTGGTTCATCAGGTGCTCTGCTATGGCTGATTTCTCTGGTTGAAGTAGTCTGCAGTGCCTTTCATGTTCCTTGATTCGTGTTTGGGCAATGCTGCGTTTGGTGGTCCCTATGTAGACTTGTCCACAGCTGCATGGTATACGGTAGACTCCTGCAGAGGTGAGAGGATCCCTCTTGTCCTCTGCTGAACGTAGCATTTGTTGGATTTTCTTGGTGGGTCTGTAGATAGTTTGTATGTTGTGTTTCCTCATCAGCTTCCCTATGCGGTCAGTGGTTCCCTTGATGGATGGCAAGAACACTTTTCCTCTGGGTGGATCTTCATCTTTACTCTCGTGGCTTGTTCTTGGTCTTGCAGCTCTTCTGATGTCTGAGGTGGAGTATCCATTGGCCTGGAGAGCCCAATTGAGGTGGTTCAGTTCATCTTGGAGGAGGTGGGGTTCGCAGATTCTTTCTGCACGGTCTGCCAAGGCTTTAATGGTGCTTCTTTTTTTGACTTGGGTGATGGTTGGAGTTTTTATGTAGATATCTATCTCTGTGTGTGGGTTTTCTGTAAACGGTGTGACCCAATTGTTGATCTGGTTTGCGGATGACTAACACATCTAGAAAAGGCAGTCTTCTTTCATTCTCTTTTTCCATGGTGAACTGGATGTTTGAGTGGATGCTGTTAAGATGTTCCAGGAACCTGTTGAGTTTTTCTTCTCCATGGCTCCAAATAGTGAAAATGTCATCCACATATCTGAACCATATCGTGGGCTTTTTTGTTGCTGTTTCCAGGGCTTGTTTTTCAAAGTGTTCTATGTAGAAATTAGCTATGATCGGGCTGAGAGGGCTCCCCATAGCTACTCGATTTTTCTGTTCGTAGAACTCATTGTCCCACTGAAAGTAGCTGGTGGTGAGGCAATGATGAAACAGAGCTGTGATGTCTTCTGGGAATCTCTGGTCCATACTTGGTTTTTTAATACAATTGTGAGGTTATTATTATTATTATTATCTGAGCCCACATTCATATAATGAATCATAGAATCATAGAATCAAAGAGTTGGAAGAGACCTCATGGGCCATCCAGTCCAACCCCCTGCCAAGAGCGTGGCCACGGTAGTCCACGCTCTGGTTACATCCCGTTTAGACTACTGCAATGCTCTCTACGTGGGGTTGCCTTTGAAGACGGCCCGGAAGCTTCAGTTGGTCCAACGTGCGGCAGCCATGATACTAACAGGAGCAGGACGCAGGGAGCATACAACTCCCTTGCTGTACCAACTCCACTGGCTGCCGATTTGCTACCGGGCCCAATTCAAGGTGCTGGCGTTGGCCTATAAAGCCTTAAATGGTTCCGGCCCAAGATACCTATCCGACCGCATTTCGACCTACGAGCCCACCAGGACTTTGAGATCTTCCGGGGAGGCCCTGCTCCCGATCCCGCCTGCTTCACAAGCACTGCTGGTGGGGATGAGAGATAGGGCCTTCTCGGTGGTGGCTCCTCGGCTGTGGAACACCCTTCCCGTGGACATTAGACTGGCTCCTTCCCTGATGATATTCCGCAGGAAATTAAAAACTTGGTTGTTCAAGAAGGCGTTCGAACAAGAAGTGCAATGATTGGTAATGACTATAGGAATGGAATAACGAAAATGATATTGGATTTGATGAGATGACGCTGAATGGTTTTTGTAGTAATGATGATGTTTTTGTATAATGCTGGACTGTGAATTGTTTTATACTGTGTTTTGAATTTTGTTCTTCTTATGTTGTACACCGCTGTGAGTCGCCCCGGGGCTGAGAACAGCGGTATATAAGCAAAGTAAATAAATAAATAAATAAAACTGGAATATTGCATTCAAATCACCCTGACAGATGGCCATCCAGCCTCTGTTTAAAAGCTTCCAAAGAAGGAGCCTCCACCACACTCCCATGCAGAGAGTTCCACTGCTGAACGGCTCTCACAGTCAGGAAGTTCTTCCTCATGTTCAGATGGAATCTCCTCTCTTGTAGTTTGAAGCCATTGTTCCGCGTCCTAGTCTCCAGGGAAGCAGAAAACAAGCTTGCTCCCTCCTCCCAGTGGCTTCCTCTCACATATTTATACATGGCTATCATATCTCCTCTCAGCCAGGATTTCGTTTCGGGGGGGGGGGGGGGCTGAATTTATTTTGATTTGGGGGGGGGGGCTGAGTTTGATTCGGGGGGGGGCTGAGTCTGAGTGAAAGAGGGTCTACCCTAGCAAACCTTTTGTATCGATACCCAATACCCCCATGCATATGGGATATATTGAGCATGGTGATCAACTCATGATATGAATAAACATAACAGTTTAAATAATGTACCGGTAAGGCCTTCGCGTGGACCACTATGACAATTTCGGGGGGGGGGGGGCTGAGCCCCCCCAACCAAAGGAAGCCACCTTTCTGCAGAATCATAGAATCATAGAATCAAAGAGTTGGAAGAGACCTCATGGGCCATCCAGTCCAACCCCCTGTCAAGAAGCAGGAATATTGCATTCAAATCACCCCTGACAGATGGCCATCCAGCCTCTGCTTAAAAGCTTCCAAAGAAGGAGCCTCCACCACACTCCGGGGCAGAGAGTTCCACTGCTGAACGGCTCTCACAGTCAGGAAGTTCTTCCTAATGTTCAGATGGAATCTCCTCTCTTGTAATTTGAAGCCATTGTTCTGCGTCCTAGTCTCCAAGGAAGCAGAAAACAAGCTTGCTCCCTCCTCCCTGTGGCTTCCTCTCACATATTTATACATGGCTATCATATCTCCTCTCAGCCTTCTGTTCTTTTCGTAGAACTCATTGTCCCACTGAAAGTAGCTGGTGGTGAGGAAATGATGAAACAGAGCTGTGATGATGTATTGTCGAAGGCTTTCATGGCTGGAATCACTCAGTTCTTGTGGGTTTTTTCGGGCTATATGGCCATGTTCTAGAAGCATTTCTCCTGACGTTTCGCCTGCATCTATGGCAAGCATCCTCAGAGGTGAGGTACCTCACCTCTGAGGATGCTTGCCATAGATGCAGGCGAAACGTCAGGAGAAATGCTTCTAGAACATGGCCATATAGCCCGAAAAAACCCCACAAGAACTGAGAGCTGTGATGTCTTCTGGGAATCTCTGGTCCATATTTGGTTTTTTAACACAATTGTGAGGTTGTTATCATTATTATTATTATTATTATTATTATTATTATTATTATTATTATCTGAGCCCACATTCAGATAATGTGGCATTCTCTGCCTTGATATTCTGGGATATAGGGCTGTGTGAAAAGGGTCCTAGGACTCCAAAGCTTGCTTGGGTTTTGTGTCAATGTCTCTCTCCCACCTTCCAAATAGGAGCTTTGCCCAGCTGTGGAGATAAGGGTTGCCTTTCCTTCTGAGGCGCCTGAGGCCACATTGGTGTGTGACAGGCGAAAAGAGAAGGATGCGCGCGCGCCAGATTCGGGGACGCCTGATGTCATCGCCGGGGTGGGGGGTGGTGATGAGACACCGGCGCGCGCGCGGGGTTGAGGATGCTCGAGAGGCGAATGGGCCCTTCTCCCCGCGCATGCGCACTCCGCCCCCTCATCATTAATTCCCCCCCCCCCCCCGCTTCCCTCAGGCCCCTCCCTCGCTCCCCACCGCTGTGTCACTCATTGGCTTTGTCAGTTCCCCCCACAGTTGCTACCCAGGAGGCGGCGAACAGGTGAAGAAGCCTTGCTGCCAGTTCAGCCCTGAGAGGGAAGGAAGGAGGGAAGGAAGCTGAGGAGAATGAGGCAAGCGGGGAGCGCGTCCTAAGGAGCCCAAGCGGTCCAGAGAGGCTGGAGGTGGCGACGCAGAAGGGAGAGGAAGAGGAGGCGAAGCAGCCCGGTCCGGATGGAGGCGGCCAAGCTTGGAGGGAAGCGCCTCTTCCTCCTCTGGGCGGCTCTCCTCTGCTGCCAGGCGGCCCGGAGCGTGGGCGCAGTGGCATCTCCCGCCAACCCGCCTTTGCCTCAGTGCCAAGAGGTGAGGGGGGGGGGGGGCTGGAGCAGCATTGGGAAGAGTCAAGACCTCAGGGTGTTGGAACAAGTTGGCTTTCTTTTTTCCTATTAGCTCAGGTACCTGCCACCTAAGGGGAAAGCATAGAATCATAGAATCAAAGAGTTGGAAGAGACCTCATGGGCCATCCAGTCCAACCCCCTGCCAAGAAGCAGGAACATTGCATTCAAAGCACCCCTGACAGATGGCCATCCAGCCTCTGTTTAAAAGCTTCCAAAGAAGGAGCCTCCACCACACTCCGGGGCAGAGAGTTCCACTGCTGAACAGCTCTCACGGTCAGGAAGTTCTTCCTAATGTTCAGATGGAATTTTATTTATTTATTTATTTATTTATTATTTGAACTTATATGCTGCCACTCCCCTGGGGCTTGGAGCAGCTTACAAAAATGGCTAAAATCTAACAAATTTAAAAGCAATTTAAAACAATTTAAAAACAGCAATATCAAACATTAAAAGCCTGTCGAAACAGGTATGGCTTACATGCTCTGCAGAAAGCTGGTAAGTCCCGCAAGGCACAGACTTCAGGTGGTAGAGTATTCCAGAGTGATGGTGCCACTGCTGTAAAGGCTCTGTGTTTCGTTGCTGTTAGATGTAAGGTCTTGATACTGGGAATTTCCAATAGATCTTGGTCCTCAGAACAGAGGGATCTCTGGGGTTGGTAGGGGGTGAGGCGGTCCCTCAGGTACATCGGCCCCAGACCATGCAAGGCCTTAAAGGTGAGTACCATCACTTTGAAAGTGATCCGGTGCTCAATTGGTAACCAATGCAGCTGCAGTAAGATTGGTGTTATGTGGCATCTCATCGGAATACCTGCAAGAAGCCGAGCAGCTGCATTTTGTACCAACTTGAGCTTCCGGATCACCAACAGAGGAAGGCCAATGTAGAGGGCGTCACAGTAGTCCAGTCTTGAGATGACTGTAGCCTGGATCACCATAGCTAGGTCGTCCCTGGACAGGTAGGGGGCCAGCCATCTAGCCTGCCGCAGATGAAAAAAGGCGGTTCTGCTAACGGCGGAGACCTGGGCCTCCATCGTCAGGAGAGGGTCCAAAAGGACTCCCAGACTCTTTATCAATGATGACAGGCGTAGCGCCTCGCCATCTTGTAGTTTGAAGCCATTGTTCCGTGTCCTAGTCTCCAGGGAAGCAGAAAACAAGCTTGCTCCCTCCTCCCTGTGGCTTCCTCTCACATATTTATACATGGCTATCATATCTCCTCTCAGCCTTCTCTTCTTCAGGCTAAACATGCCCAGCTCTTTAAGCTGCTCCTCATAGGGCTTGTTCTCCAGACCCTTGATCATTTGAGTTGCCCTCCTCTGGACACATTCCAGCTTGTCAATATCTCTCTTGAATTGTGGCGCCCAGAATTGGACACAATATTCCAGGTGTGGTCTAACCAAGGCGGAATAGAGGGGTAGCATGACTTCCCTAGATCTAGACACTATGCTCCTATTGATGCATGGGTGACTGTCCCTTTAAGAGTAGAGAAACGCCCCTCTTATAGCCACAGCAGACCCCTTTGTGGTTCTGCCTCCCCATCACAATCACAAACTTAAGAGCTGGCAATACACTCTTTTACTTACTTACTTAGGCAATTCCTCATATTCCGAGGATGACAGAATCCCTAATCCAGCCACCGGATCACATTGAGAAATTTCCCAGTCATAGGACACTTCAGCCTCTGTTTAAGCATGGAGAGGCACTGAGCTTATCACATGAGTTAAACTACTTCTGACTGTCATGCATAGCCCTCTGTGGTTGAAAAGAGGCAGAAGTGGAGGGTTTTTTGGAGGCTTTTAAACAGAGGTTGGATGGCCATCTGTCAGGGGTGCTTTGAATGCAATATTCCTGCTTCTTGGCATGGGGTTGGACTGGCTGGCCCATGAGGTCTCTTCCAACTCTATGATTCTATGATTCTATGAGACATTTCCCAGTCATAGGACACTTCAGCCTCTTTTCAAGCATGGAGAGGCCCTGAGCTCATCACATGAGTTAAACTACGTCTAACTGTCATGCATAGCCCTCTGTGGTTGAAAAGAGGCAGAAGTATCCTGAAAAGATGAACTCCAGCAATCAACCTCATTACTATTTCTTTCCATGGGATCCTATAGTTCTGCATTAAAGCCCATAGGATATAAGAGACAGTGATCCAGGTTAAAGCCATTGCTTTCCATGGGATCTTCTGGTTCTGCATCAAAGCCCAGAGAGTGCAAGAGACTGCTGATGGTTGGGCAATTAAACAGGATGAGAAACTTTGATGGTTCCCATCCCACCTGTTTTACAGCTGTAAATATGAGATCAAAGTGCAATAAGAGCTCTGAACCCGATTGCTGTCCCATGTTCAGAGTTCCCTCTTTTCAGGATATTTCTGCTTCTTTTCAACCCTGGAACATGTGATGAGCTCCATGTCTCTCCCTGCTTGAAAAGAGGCCGAAGTATCCTACCAGTGGGAAATTTCTCAATTGCTGGAGTTCCCTCTTTTCAGGATACCTCTGCCTCTTTTCAAGCACAGAGGGCTACGCATGACAGTCAGAAGTAGTTTAACCCATGTGATGAGCCCAGGCTGGAATGTCCTATGACTGGGAAATTTCTCAATGTGATACGGTGGCAGGATTAGGGATTTTGTCAGAGGTACTTTGATGGTGCTTCTGGATGGCAGAGGGTTGGACTAGGTAGGTCTCTTCCAACTCTGTGATTCTATGATTCTGCAATGCTGTTAAGTCCTGGTTTGGTTTTGGATTCTATGAGTGGTCCCATTAGGATGCAGGTAAACTACAACTCCTGCCATCATCTGATAGTGGATGAACTACAACCACCTATCATATTCTATCATTGTCCCCCTCCCAAACCCCAGCAGTATTTAAACTTGGTCATGACTTGGAGCAATAGGTTCAAATTACAGGAAAGGAGATTCCACCTGAACATTAGGAAGAACGTCCTGAACAAAGGCTGGATGACTATCTATTGGGGTGCTATGATTGTGCTTTTCCTGCATGGTAGGGGTTGGACTAGATGGCTGATGTGGTTGCTTCCAACACTATGATTCTATGATGGCTATATGTACCAAGTTTGGTCCAGAGCCAATGTCAGTGGGTTCCATGGTGCTCTTTGCATGTTGTTGTTGTTGTTGTTGTTGTGTTTATTTATACTCTCCTTTTTTCTCTCCACAAGGAGACACAAAGCAGCTTACATTAAAAACATTTTGATACAATTTAACATATACAAATATAAAAGCATTAAAACAGAATTAAATATCATTGATATTCCAAAATTCAGTTAAAACCCACTAAAAAATACTCAAAACAACAGCAGTCCCTGACTTGATCTTAAAAGCCTTTTTCTTTCAAAGCCTGCTGAATAAAAAGGTTTTAGCCATATGGGTGAACTATATAGCTATAGTTCTCTTTGCATATGAGTGAACTATATACAGGCAGTTCCTGAGTTACAAATATCCAATTTATAAATGACTCGTAGTTAAGAAAAGGGCTAAGACAATACAGAGGGAGAGGAATCAATCCCTTGGAAAGGAAATTCACTCCTGAAAGAGATATCATGGGGAAAAGGTATCTCCACTGAAGCTTTCTCATCAACCCTTGTTTCCACAGCAAGTCATTTTTTTTTTCAAAATCCAATGATCACAGGAACAGAAAATGAGATGACATCTTCTGAACAGGGGCACAGGCAGCAGAGCAAACTTCACAGGGGTGCTAATAATAATAATAATAATAATAATAATAATAATAATAATAGTAATAATCCTTATTTATACCCCGCCACCATCTCCTCAATGGGGACTTGGAGCAGCTTACATGGGGCCAGGCCCATGTAACATATTACAGCAAAATAAAACCAAAACATAAACAACAAGCAACATTATCAAAATTACATAAGGAGAAAAAAAACCCTTCCTCATGTGATCCAAAGCTACAAAATATATATTTTTGGTTGGCGTTTGGTTGGAATTTGTAAACCCTGGGGCATTGGTATCAAACCAATGCCTCTCCAGGTGTTTTGGACTTCAGTTCCCAGAATTCCTGGCCATTGGACAAGTTGGCTCGGGCTTCTGGGAGTTAGAGGGGGCACAAACATCTGGGAGGGGGCACAAGTTTGACACCTCTGCTCTTGAGGAATTGTAGTTGGTTCTAATAATTGCATTGCCCACCTCTTGAATGTTGTTTTGTTCCTATGAACATCCATGGTTGCATTTGGGCCTTTTTTTGTACCTCTAAGATGCAGGATTGATATTATTATCCCAATTTCACAGATGAATTCTGGGGCTTCATTTTTCCCAACCTCTTCCCTTTCTGCTCTATGAGTTTAACAGTAGCATGACACACAGAATCCAATAATTTAGTATCTTGGCATGTTAGTAAATCATGCTGATCAGGAAACACCCTTTGCTCAAATTGGTTGTGTATCAGAACAGGTCCATTAAAACTCTGGTTACTCTTTGAGACAGAAAAGCAGGGTTATAATCTAAGCTGTGAATTCTCAAACCTTCATTATCCTATGAGTATTCCAGAATGTGTTTTAGAATGGTAGCTGACTCACTTCATTGCAGATATAGGAGCAGAAATGAGAACTTCCTTGCTCATATCTTCATGCAAAGAGCAACAAGGGCTAGTAACACCCAATAAAAGTGATGCAGAGAAGAGACAAAATCTCAGTGGGTTGAAAAAGTAGATTTTATTTTTATAAGCCCAATGTGTTTTGACCTGTAATATTTAATGGCCTTCTTTAGAGGCTGTTAAAAGACAAAAAAGTGAAAAAGACAATGCATAACTACATAATAACAATTAAATAAGTTACAATTTACTGTATCAATTGTGTGCATGTACATCTTACATGAGAATGCATATAACATGTTTCAATTTTAAAACCATTTAATAGCAATATTTATATAAATATTGATAATGATAAGCTAAAATGTGTTCAGAGAAGGGTGACCAAAATGATCAAAGGTCTGGAAAGC